TCTGTTCCACATAATCCTTTAAAAAATATGTCCAAAAAACTTGCATTGTTTGTTCTGAACTAGTTATCAGGTATTTCTTGCTATTCCTAATGAACTGATTGGACTCACTGTTCATTTTTCCCCTTAAACTTAGCATCCTACTGTTTTCTTTACCTTGTCTTTTGCTGTTTCTCCTTCCCCTATTTTCTTTGTGAAGTTTTAGATCTCCTTGTGTTTAACTTCCAGGGCTAATGAGATTTTTGTCAGATAGCATTCAGTGCCTGAGTTTTAGGATTGGAAGCTTTATCAATTAAGGGTGCTTTTCATCATAGCCATGCTGGTAGCCAGTTCTGGGTTTTATGTATTTCTTCTTTATCCTTTTCTTCCAGTTCTGAGAAATCTTTCATAATTTTAAGGGTCTGAATCTCTAAGGGTGTTGCTTTTTTTTTATTTCCAGCCTCTTCACCTTAAATTGGTGGGTGATCTTGTATCTACAGTGTTCAGTGTATTTCTTAGCAGGCAGAAGGGAATAATGGGCTTACTTTAATATTTAATAGGATATCTCCTTTGGAAGCCTTATAACACTCAGCTTTTCTTCTTCTCCATGTTCTCTCTGTAGGGCACTTTTTATTTCTTTTTTTTTTTTTTTCAAATAATCTTTATTTTACTGGTCTTGTCTTAGGTGTAGCTTGTAAATGCATTTATCTCAGGCATAGAGCCTGTACTTGCAGTGCCTTTTTGAATCAGTTTTGGAGATTGGATTTGTGATCCCAGCTCCTCAGGAGCCTCTCCCCTTGTAAAGGCTGTTTTTTATCTCCTCTGCATTTTCTGTTTTCTACTTGAGCCACCCTATTTTATTTGCCAAATCCCATGTGGTATCCAGAGTTTTGAACCTTCCTGGGCATTTCTGTTGGGAATAGCACAGGAAATGTGTCTGTTTCACAACCAGAAGAGTACAGGTAGGGAGTTAACAGGGACTGGAATTTTTGGAAAATTTTGACTTCTCCACCTTCAAACTCTGGCCTCAAGCAGTGGCACTCTAGGCTCCTGGTCTCTTTAGTGTTCCTCATGCTTTTTATGTTTTTAACAATTTAAACATAAAGGCAAATTCAGAAATGAAAAACAACTATTTGGATGCAATTAACAGGCGGTTGTAAAAGATTAATACCAAAGTATGTGTGTCTTACAGACTTTAAAGTACCTGAACTTGCTTTTAAATTGTCAATCCATGCTGCCAGTGTTTCTTATTATCATAATATGTATCCTTATAAACCCCAAAGGAAATTGTAAAACTTCTGCAGGTAATGATTTCTGCACAGGAAGAAAATATACTTTTAAGAATCCAAAATTTGTTCTTGTTATAAAGCACTGGTTTTAAGATTATAACATGTTAAGTGTTTCGGATTTTTACAGTTGTTTATATACAATTTGTCTGGAAATTGTTGAGCTTTTCCTGTAATGAAAAGTCTTTTAATGGAAAACCTTGCAGCAGTAGATACTCTTCAGCTCCATTTGTGGAAAACTGAGGGAGGATAAAAGAGAAACAATGAGAACAAAAGTGAGGAGAAAATAAAGGCTGTGGGCTTGGTGGCTTCAAGAAGGAGCAAAGGGCCACAAGAAGGAATAAAACCCAAGATACAAAGCAAGGATCAAGAGCCAAGAACATGCAGGTGCTGTTTTTAGAGGTGACACGTTGGGTGGAGGGGATGACTCTGCACAGTAATAGTTTAGGTAACTTGGGAGGAAGGGAAGGATATTTCCAGATTATCAGGCTAGGAAGGTAACTTCAACAGCAGGAGTGAGAACTTACATAGGCAAACATTTTGCAGGTGGGAGAGTGAAATGAAAGAGAAACTGAGCAAGTGCTCAGAGAGGAGGTGAAAGTTTACCCAAACTTATAATCACACTATCACCCCATCCCACAGCAGAGAATGGGGCTTTTAGTCACACCTAATACTATTTCCTCCAGCAGGGTTTGATTTTTTTACCAAAGTAAGTGTATGCTGCGCTTCCAGCTGGAGGAGAGTGACATATGGTGTTGTTTAATAATTGAATTTATTTGAGAGCATCGTGTAACATAATTGCCCTGGAAGTTCTGTGCAGATTGCAGAGCTGGCTCTGAGAACAGAGAGCAGCGCTGGTGTCGTGCCTGGAGCTGTGCTGGGGGGGTGGAGCAGAGCTGTGAACATCCACGAGTCACATCAGTGATCTCCAACCCTGGGAGTGATTCTAGAGCTGCTGAAATCTGGGGAGGTGAGAGATTTCTCCTGGATCTCTCTCTGCTTTCCTTGTCAGCTGGTTGTGACCATTTGCCAGTCACGATGAAACCAAGTTAAGGCACCTGGTTGTCACTGGCTATGAATGCAATACATAAATACCCAAGGACTTGCTATTCTTGACTCCTTTTGGTCCATTAGTACTTTCATTGGTAAAAATAGATAGGGAAAAAATTGATATTTACTCTGCTTACCCTTCCTGCATCTAAATTTTTCAGAGCGTGCTTTTGCTTAGGCTCCTTTTGCCCTGGCATCCTGCTTTTAACAGTGGTGGTGGTGGTGGTGTTACTTGTTAATATATTTTTTTAAATTTTCATTCCGCCTCTTCATGAGATTGAATGTGAGCCAGAAGCAGCAGGATTGATATTCTGCCTTGGTTAGATATAAATTTTTTATCATATTAGTAATTTTCTTTTTCATATTGATTTTCTCTTCCAGTACAAGGCATTCAGATGTTTATTTTCCTTTTGATCTGAAATAAATTATAATTTAATAAATGCAAATAGTTGCATAAAAACAACATTAGGGGAAAGAAACCTTAGAAATAATATAGAGATAAAGATTCTGGGTTTTTTTCCTCCTAACCACAGGGTTCCAAAATAGACATTCCCATTTTTGATTCTGCTTTGTTATTTTGCCATGCAGGAAATTTCCCTGTGGAAGTGACCACAGGTTCTTCCTCCCACTACTGTGAAACAAGCAAGGATGTTACTCAGTTTGTCAAATGGTTTCCCACCCTCTTGGATTTGTGCTTTATTTATTATACCATAGTATATAATCTATTGTATTACCTATTATTAATGATATTAACTGCAGCAAATAACTTCATTTGTAGCCTTCTAAATGTTGCTCATAGTTCCTTAAAAAGGTAAATCAACTTTTAGGGACCATAATGGAGGAAGTTGTGTTGCTTCTACCATTCAACTTTGGGTCTTTAGAGCCTCCATTAGTTTTCCTGGCACTCCTGATTATTAGTTCTTCTCATTTGGAGGGAAATTCCTGTCTTTGAAACAGTTAAATCACTATTTCTAGATAATGATTTGTCTCTGCAGTGTGTTTTTCTAGTTCTGAATAATACCTGGAATTGCACTTACTTTGGGGAAAAACAGTCCTTTTGCTGAGCTCTCTCAGGAAAGTTTTTGGGTTTTTTTTGCCAGTAGATGTTTCAGGAAGCAAAACCAGAAAATCAAAGGCATGAGTCCATTCTGAGCCATTAACCCTGTGCCACAGTGGCTTCTTTTAGGTTTTTGCTGATACAAGAGTCAAATAAGAGAACCAGAGTAGCTGGCTCCTGCTGAAGTATCACCCCTTCCATCCCTGTCTTCCATTTCCTTCAGGAGAAAATGAGAAGGACAGTATGGAATAAAGTATCTATATATGTAAAGATCTCTCCAGCATTTCTTCGAGTTCTGCAATCACAAATCATACCATTTTTCAGCCTTAAAGGGAATAATAGGAGCTGTGAGGATGTACTCTTTTGGGAAGGAAGGGAGTTTAACCCTGTGAGACTTGCCATGGCTCTTACCTGCCTGGTCAGGCTTTATTTCTTTATACAAATTTAGTGTTTGAGGCCATTGGAGCTCCTTTAGAAGTCTGAATTTCCAGCATCTCTCAGGAGAGATTCATCTGTGACCCTTGGAAAGGGAAAGCCATAAACTTTATCTCCTGAAAACCTGTGGGGGAGATTTGTGTCCAAATTCAAGGGACTGGAGTTTCAGTAGGAGAAAGAAATGAAGTTATATGTCCTGGGACATACAAGAGGTCAGAGAAGAAGATATAATATTACCTGTTGGTGGTAATGTCTGTGAATCAGGGACAAACTCCCCAAGGAAACGTTCATAAATCTGAGCAACTTCCCTGTTGAATTTGTTCTAAGCCAAACTGCTGGGTTGGTGTTTGGTGTCTCTGCACCATGAACAGCAGCAAAGTCACTTCACTTGGTATATAAGAACCTGAAATCTCAGATTATCTTTGCAGAAATTATAAATGTTTCTGCCTATTTTCCCACTGATCTGCATAGATCCATGAAATCCATAAAAGAGGGAAGACCATGACTGTAATTTCCTACTTCCTGGTCTGCCCAAAGTTTAGATGAAGGGTTAACATCACATTTTAATGTTTGGTGAAGGTATATTATGACACACTACTATTTCCCTTTCCCTTTCTAGCCAACAGCAAAAAAACTCCAAAAAAACCCCTCAAAACCAACCCATCATTTGGCATCAGAGGTGCAACGCAGGGTTATTGGAAGAAAGGCTGCTATAGGTTGTGGAAGAGAACCAACAAATCAACAAATATATTCCATTCAAAGCAGGGTTTCTAATTTGAGTAGTGAAGGAGAAAGCAAATAGGAACTTTGCATTCATCAGAGAGACTCTTCTTTGTTTGTATAAACACCCAAGAAAAAAAATTATATGTATTTTTAAAAATATCTCAGGTGATATTTGGTGAAATGAAGGTGTATTCAAACAGAATAAGTAAGGACAAGGTTTATGTTACCTTGTGTAGTTGTCCATGACTTATCTTGTTGTATGATGCTGCCTTTAATACTGGAAGTGTAGCAAGAGGCAAGGTTGGAGTTGTTGTCTGGGTCAGGATGTCTGTGTCCCCCACCAGCCTTGAGGGGAGCAGAGGGAGGTGTAAAAGTGCTGAATCCCAGCTACTTCTGCTCAGCTGAATTCTGCCCTAATTGCTTCCTGTATTAAGGAACTAAGTTTGGCTTTCTTTCCCCAGCTCTGTGAGTTGCAGAACATGGCACTGGCACAACTCCAGCCATGCCACATGATTTCGGTTTGCATAGTGATGAAATCTGGATGGTTATTAAGAAGTCAAGCAAGGTTTGCACTAACTACCAATCCAAATGTTGCTTTACATCCTGCTAACAGCCACTGGCGTGTGTTCCCTCCCAGAGCAGTACTGGTATATAAATATTTAAATGTTGAAGGGAATGTGCAAGCACTGTGCATATAAACTATAAATGAGATGAGATCAGTAATACCAAAAGGTGATACCATTTGAAGAACTCTACTTAAATAGTTGCTTTGTGCACTAAAGTAATTTAGGGAATGTTTATTGTCTCAGATAAAATTTCAGAATGGAATTTGCTTCTGGGAAATCTGGAATGCTCTGTAATATTCCTAAATGTGTCTGAGGGCAGGATTTAAGGAGCACACAAACTGCTAAACACTGAAATATAAGCAAGCTCTTGATTCATTGAGTAGGAAGAGCAGAATAAACATTATATTCATAAAATTATTAAAACTTCAGCATGCAGCATTTAAAGGATATTTGAAGGATGCAGGTTAATTTTACTGGATCAGACCCAAACCAGATGGGATGTTTAATACACAAAATTGAGTGGAGGAACAGCTTCGGAGTGTGTCTTGAAATCTGACAGCTCAACTACTGTAGTTTGCCCCTGGAATATTAAAACACCAATTTGTTTTCTGAAAATGTGGAAGTAAATGAAACTGGCTGCTAAACTGTTCTTGTTTGTTTGCTTTTCTCTGTTCCCTTGATCTTTGGAGGTGTTGGAGTCAAGTAACTTTCTTTATTATATTTTGTTTTAAATTGCAGACCAGAAATCAGATGCTACTCAGGTAAAGAGAGATCATTTTCAAAACAAATGAGATCTCCTGAGCTGAAGCTTCTGTTGACAGAGGGCTGTAGGGCCCTCTCTAGAGCATTGCCAAAGGTAGCTGAAATGCATTACACTGAATTTCTGTAAATATAGTAGCAATTTTCCTTTGTTTCCTCTGCAATACCTACTTTCTATTGTTACAGTTTTGCTCTTCAGCAGTGTAGACCACGAATTTTTATGTGATGCAAAGGAATGTAATTTAAAGCCAAAGAAAAAAGGAAAATTCTGTTAGGTCTTGTAAGAAAAGTTGTGATTGTCTCATCACTGCAGGGCCTTTGTCACTATTTAAGAAAAAAACACGGGAAAATATGGACCAAGCCTTTTCTGTTTCATAAGCTTGAACTCTTCAGTGTATTTCCTACCCCAAAATGAAATATTCAGCTGAAACTACCTCAGCCTCATAACTTTCTTTTCTTGTTTCCCATTGATTGCTTAGCCTGGAATGCCATTACTCCTTTCACTAAGCTTGAATGTCATTCACGACACATTTGGCCACTAGACAATTCAGGTAAAATATCACCTGAAATTATGCATCCAGAATCTTTGAAAAACCCCCAAACATAAAATCAACAACCCTAACCCCCTTCATTCTATGTATTTAGAACTGATTGAGCTCATTAGCACCTTCTAAATGGACAATATTCAACTTGTCCTCCCATGGGATTCTCCATATTCTTGAGGCTGTAGGAGGGATTCTTGCATATGTTGAGCAAGAAGTTGTGGGATTTAACAGAGTTTTTTCCTCCTTAATTCCCAAGATTTTTTTTTTCCTCATGAGTTGGCATGTGTCCAAGTTTAGTAGGCTTAAAATTGCTCTCCTTTAAAGGTTCATTTGGTCAACAGCCCCTGCAATGCACACCAGCTGTAAAGTGTTCATGGTGACTAATGGCCTTCTTCCAGCAACCTAAAATAGTGCTGCTTTTTCTGTCCATGTCTATGAATCCTGGTGAGGATTTTGGAAAGCCAGCCACTAGCCACAGATATAAATTGTTCCTATCAACAATGAAAATCCCCTTGGTGTCTTCAAGCTAGACTGTATTTCCATACGTCTGTGTCTAATGTATCGGAATAGTTTTCTAATGTTTATAAATAGTTTTAGTAGTAATATTGGGATAATTTTTATTCAAAAAAGAGGAAAAATAAGGAGAAACCTAAAATAAAATACCTTTTTTGAAAGCATTAATAAGTGCTAAAGTGGGAAAACAAATTAGAAAATACCATCTATAAAAATGGGAAAATTGCTTATTTATTTTCCTCAACTCCTCATCAGTTAATTATTATTTCTTATTTGTGCAATCATGGAACCTAGAAATCCTGCTAATCCTGCTGAATAACTGGTGCACTGCAAGCAAAGAGACAAAAAAAGGAGATTGTGCCCAGAAATAACCATCTATGTGAAAGAGGGAAGGAAATTACTGAATGAGCTGGGGAGGGCACAAGAAAACCAGGAGATGCTGTGGCTCACCACAATAGGCAGAGATCTCTAACATGTCAACAGCACCACCCTTGTGAAGCCAAGGAAATGCTTCAAGGAGGGGATAAAGCAGAATAATTCTTCCAAGAGTCAATGGGCAACATGAGCAACAGATTGAAGAAAGAAGCTTGATTTAAAATCAAACAGATGGGCGATGGATGTTCTTAGATGCCTGCTAGAGGTGAGCACAGTCTCCTAGTGCAGAATGAGAGAGGAAAAGACACAGGAGGACAGACTGCAGGAGAGGCTGAGAGCAACAAAATGTGGCAGGCATTACATTTCCATATTTCTTCTGTGGCAGGATGAAGTCAGAATTCATTAAAGCCTTTTTATAGGTACAGTAGCAACACCATATGGAGTATTTCTGTCTGGCTGTAGCCACATGATAGTCTCTGAGGAATACCATGTGCATTCAGGATGAAGTCTGTGACACTGGAACTCTAGATGTGTGTGGAAGGGATGTACACACAGAATTTAATTTATCTAGCACATGAGCAGTCATTGCCTGGGGGAGGTGTGTAGTGGAGCAATGGTTACCAGCTGCCAGATGTCCCCCCAGCCTATGGAATGCTCCTCTACCTCAACAGGATAGAAGAGAGTAAGAGGTGAAATAAGAATGGGAGATCCCTCACCAGCTACCATTACAGCAAAGTTCATTAAGTGAGAGCAAGCAGGCCATGTTTCCAAGTCTCATTAACAGATCTGCAGCTCCAAAGAAATAACTGTGTTTCATGTGCTGCCCCTTAACAATGTATTAAGCCCAACTGTGACCAAATATCTGCTTTTCAAATGCGCATTCCAGGGAAGTGGGAAGCCCAGGAAGGCTTTCTGTAGTGTGCTGACTCTGGCTGTATTAGGTGTGGTAAATCCCACTGGTGAATTAACTTCTAACAGGGTGGAGGCGCAACCTTGGGTGAAAGTGCCCAGTCTGAATTTAATATCTCTAAATAGACAAAATCCCACCTGCCTAAACAGCTGTTAACTCAGGAATGCAAATAAACCAAAATGTGGGTGGTGGTTTTGTTGCTGCCATTGTTGATAAATATCAAAATACTCCAGTTCTACTAAACCAGGGAGTGTTTGCAGGTCTACATCACGTGAAGCCAAATTCAAAGCATAAGATATAATAAGAACACTGATGCAAGTCTCAGTGCAGATTGCAGATCTGGGGCTGAAACCATTTCCATTTTCAGTTCAGCTAATTGGTTTCCAATTGCCTCTTTCATTTCACTCCACCCAAATGCTTATTTTCAAATCTGGGAGCAACTAACTCTATAAAACAGAAATATTTTCACTTAGTTTGTTGATTAGCTGAAGCATTTTTCAGGTATCAGTGAATTTAGAGCTGCTTATGAGACTGATAACCAGAGTTACTTAATTTACATGACTCCTGCAAAATGTGAAGTTAAAAGGTTCCAGTTGATTCCTACTGTGCTGTTGTAGTAATGTAAGCTCATCACTTGAAATTGCCATTAAGGCGGGACAAATACTTCAATGTCAGAAATGTTTTAGATTTGAAAGAAATTTGCATCATGGAATAATGCAGGTTTTGTAGGCTGTCTACACCCATATGGTGTGTCACACTGCCTCAGTGGCATGTGTTTGATGTGTGTCTTTTAACCAGCTATCCCTTGCCAGCCCAGAATAAGAATTATTTATAAAAATGTCATGAAAGACTGTGGACATTTTTATTTTTCTTAGGTGTTTGCATGCAAAGGAAGACTTGTTATGCCCTAGAGGTTTATCTCACTGTCCATGATTTCAGTTTCCAAGACTGAGGTGGTCTGTGCCCTTCCTCTTCTCTGAGCTGGCCCTGTTCCTTACAAAGAAACCTTTGAGAAAACGTTAACTAGCGATATTTCATTGTTAAAGGCAGAAGACATCATGTACAGTGTATTAAATTCAGTCTTTTCCAGTTAGCTTTATGTAACAGCATTATGGAAATCTGGATGAAACCTGAATATGGTAATCCAAATATATATATCTAGCTATATATATCCATTTTATATATACTCTTTGCACATTTTCAGTTGTAGGTTATTTTTATGTTTCCTTTTTTGTCAAGTAATTATTTTATAATACAGATTTTAAAATGTTAAGTTAAAGCTATATGGGTTCCCAACACGTGAGCAGATGTTAATGTACTTACATCTTTAGACCATCATAGTCACACCTTACTTGTTGATATAAAGAAAAATAGCAATAGTTTTGAAAAATTGAATGAGATTCAGAAATGCTCAGATGACTAGAAAAATGTGTTAAAAGGATTGGGAGGGAGTTCAGTGTATTTTGTTGTAGGAAGACAAGGATCTGGGCTGTTGGTTACAATCTGTGCATATCTTTTTCAAGGAATAGAGTTGGGAAATTGGAGAAAAAAACCTGGTGGTGACAAAGAAATGATTCAACAAAGTGGAGTCTGAAGCTGGATATCAGACTTGAACCAGGTTGCTTTTCTGAACAGGGAGAATAATTCAGTAATCACTGAGGGGCATTCACATGAAGAGTTTGGATTTACCAGCACTCAGCACCTGATGTTTTTCTAGAAGTTGTTCCCATGTGAGCACAGATAAATTGGAGGATTCTGGTGGCATGTGTTGTAGAGGTCACATTCCAAGTTCTGAGCAATTCTGTTTTGTCCCTGAGCTGGGGGTGGTGGGTGTGTTAGAGGTGGTGCAACCTGTGGAAGTGACAGCCTGGTCTCTGGATGAGCTCAACCATCCTTGGTCCCAGGTGTCCTCAGGGATGGGATTGCTCTGTGAATTCTTGAGTTTTTTGGTAATACTCCTCATGCCCTAAGTGCTTTATGTGTGGTAGGCAGCCTGGCAGGAGCAGTCGCTGCTCCACCATGAGAGAAGGTGAAGTTTAGTTGTTCTCCTCATTACTCAGTAGTGTTGGAGGGAAATCATTCTAGCCAGCATACCTAGCTAATGACTTTTCAAAGTGACAAGCTTTTCTGCTCCACTCTCGGGCACATGATTCATCTCATTGCATGACTTAGATTGAAAATAAGAATGTTATATTTTGCATTTTTTTTCCCAGTGCAAGCTTAATGCCACAAGCTGAGTTCTCCAGAGAAGGTTAAAAAGTCCATGCTTATTGATGGCAAGAATTCTGCCTCTTACATTTCAAGACCTTGTGTACAGATTTGGTTTATTTTTTCTGTTTTATTTTCTTTCTAAATTGAGATTTCCTTCGATACAAGTCTGCAGTGATCAGAGAGAAGGATGTAGGATTCCCTTAGTCTTTTTTTCATTCATCCCTCGCTGAAGGTAGCACAATATTGGAAGAATGTCACAAAGGCTCAGACTCTTGGTTGATTATTGATTCCATGCTTCTAGTGAACCTGTTCTCCTGAAAAAATTGTTGTTACTCTGCATTTTAGAGTTGCTGAAAACAATTCAGAGAATGGGATGAATGAAGCTGGAATATTAAATACTTAAAAGGAAGTGGTGGTGATTTAAGCCATAGGTTTCTTTTTTTGCAAGTGGACAACCTGTAAGAAGCAGAAATGCCCCTTTTGGGTTGGAAAGGCTTGAGGATTCTTCCTGGTAGCCAGCACATGCTTGATTATTTTTAATATGAATAAAAGTGACTTACAGCCTTGAGTAACAGTACCTGTGTTTCACATACAGCATCTCCCTTTTGCAGACAGAAACCTGTAGCAGTAGCACACACGTAAATATATCCATATTTGTGAGTTCCTGTAAATATTTTGGTATAATGATGTAATATAGAGATACTGCTACTTGAAATTATATTAAATGGGAAAATTATTACTGACAAATAAATCATAATAAAATACACATTTACTGATATGTACTAATCAGCAGAACACATATTTTCTGTGCATTGTGTCATCCATTCTAAGAATGCCTCAGATACCACTATGTTACAAACTCCAATATGGACTTTAATACACGTACACTTCAAAAAAATTTATAGCAGTATTTCTAACTTCAAATCCTACATCTGGGCTAACTGTGATCAGTTTGCTACTATGGAGTTTTAAACAAGAAATACCAACTACACTCCAGGGACAAAAGGTTGACAAGTTACTGGAAAAGGGAAAATAATCTCTTTGTAGAGATGCAGAGAAAAAACAGTAATGTTTGATCTGGCTTTTACCATCTTCTTCTTTATTTCAATCCCTAGTTGATTTCAGCAGTTCTTGCCCTCTTAAATTTTTTTTATATATGTAAATATATATTTCTCTTATAGTCTGACTTGAATGGTGAACCAAACAGTAGGAGCTAATAATCATGTATATTAGAAGATATAAACTGAAATGGAAATGGAACTTTCTGGAGGAAAAATACTATAACTGGTTTTGTATTCTAAGATCTGGACTTGGAAGTGCTAAGTCATACTGATCAGCATGGGCTTATTGCATTATTTCAACAGTGGAGATAATTAAATGAATGATGACTAAAAGAGGACATTTATATGACATTCAATTATTTAACAATGTAAACTGTCAAAGTTTTTTATTCCAAGGCTCTAAAAGCTGAATTTGGAAGCCAACCTAGTGAAGTCATTGGAATTAAATTTTTCATTACCTTTAATGACTTTTTTCAATGGTTATTGTATGGGTCTTCTGAAAAATGCAATAATTAAAGTACTGGTGGTAATTAGAACTTACAGAAAATAAGTGAAACTGAATTTGAGAATAATGTATGTCTTTCTGCCACAGGACTAGAGCAAAAGCAGGTCTGCATGCTCTGTTCTCAGTTACCTTGCTTTCCTTTCTCTGGTGGAAGCCATTGGGAAATAATTTTTCAGAAATTATCTTTGCCTTCCACCACATTATATTTAGGGTTCTGTTGAGGGGGTTTTTGCTAGTAAAATTTGGGTTTCTGTCACCAGAAGTGTGTTTCTGTGCCAGATAATGCTCTTTCTAAGCCTTGGAAATTCTATATGAACACTTCCTCCACACAGCCCCAAACATTTTGACCATTAATAGTTGTGTGAAAAAGAGTAGATGTCCATTTTCCCCTCAAGCCTTCAAACTCCATCACTCTTCAGGTTTGCTTTTTAAGGGTATAAATATCAGAACAGCATCTCACCTTGAGGAGATTGGTGCATGTTCTTTGATTCCACAATCTTGGGTGATTCAGGTTAATTCATGATCCTCAGCATCTGTTTGATTGTGATGGAAAGGAAAGGAAAGGAAAGGAAAGGAAAGGAAAGGAAAGGAAAGGAAAGGAAAGGAAAGGAAAGGAAAGGAAAGGAAAGGAAAGGAAAGGAAGGAAAGGAAAGGAAAGGAAAGGAAAGGAAAGGAAAGGAAAGGAAAGGAAAGGAAAGGAAAGGAAAGGAAAGGAAAGGAAAGGAAAGGAAAGGAAAGGAAAGGAAAGGAAAGGAAAGGAAAGGAAAGGAAAGGAAAGGAAAGGAAAGGAAAGGAAAGGAAAGGAAAGGAAAACTCTTGAATATTCATAGTTGTTATCAATAGTGTTCCCTTTCAAGGATTAACTGTGAAGTGAAAAGATATCTAACATGATTGTTGGACAGACTAAGGAAAGCTTAAGGCAGTGGAGAATTTTTGTTTGTTTTCTTTCTAACACCCTGAAAAATAGATGAGGTTGTCTTGTTTGTTTCATTAAAATGCAGAAATTATAAATGTCTTAACTTTGGGCAAGTTCCCCAGGAAATACAGTTATTGTTTTGGTTTTTTCCTGGGTTTTGAATCATCTGTTAAAGTCACAGGCCCTTGCTGACAAATCAAAATCCCAACATGTGAAGCAGAATTGTAATTTTTTGGATATTACTCTTATTTTTGCTCATGTTCTTACAAAGCACTCTTGTCTCAGGAAAGGATAAACTAATAATTAGTATTTCGTGTTTGTTTTGTTTTTTTTTTAGTACTGTTTAGCTTCAATAATTAGTACAAACTTTTCCTGGTTAAGCCTATTTTGAGTTTATAGTAAAAAGGGGATTTAAAGTTTGCAGATGTTCAAGTTTTGGAAGCAGGCCAGACTAGAGCTACAAACTTGATTTTCTACCCTTTAAGAGTAAAGATATTTGAGACTTTTTACCAAGATTACTTTACTAACAGATCGGGGCTTCTCTTCAGAGAAAGCTGCCAATTAAAGAACTCCCTGAGATACTTATTTATGCATTTTGGTTCTAAAAGGCAGAAGTGATGGGCCCAGGCCATGTTCCTGTTGAAATTAAGGGGATCTGCCCTCATCAGCATGTGACATTGTGGCTGGGAGAAGTTCTCCCCCTGCCAGTGTGTCACCAACACCCAGGAGCCCAGCTCTGAAGATCTGACTCAGAGTCTACCTCAGGCAAGAGTAAATGGAGACCTTGCCTGAGGAATGACTATTTCATATAGGAATTCCTGGAATATAATGTGATTTGTAGTAAATGAAGGAAATTTGATTCCTCATGAAGTGCTGCCACGCAATTCCCGTTGGCTCATCCAGGGAGAATTTATTTCTTTCTGTCTGATCTTGTCTGCAGACCCATAAAAATCCTGTTTTGTGCCACTGGCATGCTGAGGGGGTGATTGCCAGCTTCTCCCTGCTGCTTGGGAAGGAATGCCTTGGTGCAGAGGAACCTTCATTAAATCACTTTATGCCGACCTGAGTGTCGTTTCAGAAAACTGAGAAACTTTTGGGAAATGGGTAAAGTTACTTTTATTTTAAAAATAGAACTCACTTTCTATTTCTTTGGTGTTTTATGAAGAAAATTTAGAAAAAGTTTAGTACTACTTTCCAGCCTCTGTTGGAAAATTCAAGGGTTTTTTTTAAATGCTAGGTTTTTTGGGACCATGGCAAAAAAATTAAAAGAGTTTTTGCTCATTTTTTGTCTCTCCCCCTTCCACTGTCCCAGAGGATGAAGCTCTTTCCTTTCCTCCTGGAGTACTTGGTGCAAAGGCAATGTTGGTCTAGATGAGTCTTGTGTGCAATTCAGCATCTGATTTCCACAAACATGAACTTCCATAAAATAACATTGCTAATGTTTTGTGTACTGAAGCCACAGATTCCTTCTGACAGGGGATGTAAAGATGAGAGAAATTTCACACTTCTGAGACATACTGGTGGGAAAATTGTTACATCTTCCCATCTTAAGAGAAGGGATTTTAAAGAACCAGCTGAAAGCTCCAGTTGAGGTGGTTTTGACTGGATAATAAAAGGTTCAACCTTGCAGTCTGGAGTCTTTTAAATTTTTCTTTTTGATAAGTTGCTGTCAGGAGGGGGAAAGATAGTGTAAGTGGCCTTGTGGATGGTTTCCCCAATGGAGAATGCCTTCAGCAAGCTGCCTTTGTCTGAACTGTGAACTTAGTCCACCACTCAAAGAACAACAAGTGATTGCCAAGACAGAACTCAAGCAAGAAAGGACAAGAAAAGGGCAAGAAGTGTCTCTAAGGGTGCTTTCCCAACTCCCCCCATGGAGCCACTGGCATCTGTACTCAAAGGATGAATAGCAAGAGAGTTTTGTGAAAATCTGCTGAAAGTTATTTTGGGTAGGGAGAAAAAAAATTATCCTGAATCCCTTCTGTTCCTGTGCCAATAGTTGAAAGAGTTTTTTGGCCACCAAATTCTCAGATAAAAAAGTTTGCGATTTAATTGGAACCTCAGTTCTTTGGGATGATTTTCTCCTGTGTAAGTACAAACTGTCAAAAGTCAATGTTTGAAGTGTATGATATCTGAAAATTCTGTTTTCACTTGATGTTTGGAACTGACTTTGAGGAAAGGTAGCATTGTGTACCATTTTAAATGTATAGATTTAGACCTGTAGGCTCTTAATTTGCAAGGTAAATTCTCTCTGCAGTTATGGCCATGTTTAATCTATCTGCTAAATTACTATGCTTGGTTTCAGACTATTTCTTAGAAAGATTGTTTTGGTTTTCTGAGAGAATGATGATCGAATTTATGACTGTGTTCTCTATAGCAACATCAATTATTCCAATAAAGGCCAAATAAAAAGAGCTATTTACTTGTTTTCTCAGACAAAGACTTGCTGGGACTTTCAAGTAGCTCAGACGTCTGGCTCACAGCAAGCCTCTGTAACACAAAGAGTTCTCTTGCTGCCTTCACCTAAGTGCCCACACTCTTCATGAGGGAGGTCCATGAGAAGCCAGGTGTGGATGCCCTAGAGGCCAGCTTGCTATTGTGCTTTCTGTAGGCTGCTTCCCCACATAATGCAGTTTGATGCAATGCAGCTCAAAATAGGAGTCAGCGGTGTCGAAAATGGCTTTGCTGTTTCATTGAGCAAGGGTCGCTTTAGCAGGAATGTGTCTTTGGTCTGCTGGACTAAAATAAATTTGTTGCTGTTGAATGTGAGAAGCTAGGAAGTTTCCTGCTGTTTATTTTACAGGAGCAGAGATTGTTGTTTTGCTGTTGGAGTTTGTAGTGTGCTCACACAGAATAGAGACATGAAGAAAAATGTTTTTAAAGGATGGAGAAATGTTCATTTCTGCTGATAGGAGGAAATTCTGTTCTGTATGAGATATGGGGAAAAGGCCTCATCCCATGCATGTGCCAAGTGACTGCTTAAGGCTAAAGGGTAAGACAAGATCACCTTGCTGATTCACTTGGGCTCTGCTAAGTTATCACTTCTGCTCCATTCATTGCACAGCTGATGATTGCTTGGCATCAAACCTACACAAGTGAATTTCTCAGAAGTCCTTTTTAAACACTGCACGGAGAATTAGAATTAACATGGGATTTGGTTAGGTTTTCTTATGTTTCTAAGACACTTCATTTTCATTAAGTCTTACACTCTGACCATGGTTTCTCTTGGCCTAAAACAAGGGGAATTATCTCCCCAATTTAATATTTTCATTTGATTAAAATTGTGAGCAGGAACATGTTTTATACTTCTTTTTCTTTATCTCTACCACTCAAAGGGCTCCATAAAGAGGCAGGTGGAGGCTGAGGTATCATATTGTACCTGTGGCTTTAGATCTGCTCTGGAGCCTGCTGAGGGATGATGTTCATGGAACTCATTTTTGGGTCATGCATTGCTTAGTGCTGGTAAAAGATCTTAATCCACAGTATTTTTTAAGCACTGAAGATGAAACAGAATTTGAGTTTCTCTATCTTCACGATTGTCTGGAAGTAGGTGGTGAAAAGTTGGAGCAAATAGTACAACAGTGCAAAAGGGTGGCCTGACTCTTTTCGATAGCTAATGAAATTAATGACATAAAGTTTGTAAGAAGAGGTCATCTCTCTCCAAACCCTTCATTCTCATTAATATGCATTTCTGTTCCCTCTTCTATAGAAAACATAATCATGAACCAAAATGACTGTTCCCTTTGAGCTTTGTCACCTCAGGCTTTACAGAGTTATTTCATTTGGGCTCTCATTTAAGAAACTGCTCAAGTACTGTTTCTGAGAGAGGTTTGGAATGTTGATTAGGTCCAAGAGGTCTGTACTGAGGCCCACAAATTAATTTTGCTGTCCCATGTAGATACGAATCTCAGCTCCCTGAATTGAAAAGGCTGTTGCATTATATGCAAACCATTGTGTCCTGGAACCTCGCAATGTTTATTGTACTTATCTGCCCCAAAGAAATATTTCTGCTCATTCAGGGTGATTAAAACACCTACTTGACAGAGGAAGGCAGCCTTCTCTTTTTAATTCTGACTTGTGGCAAAGGTCTAATTAAAGTTAAACTGAAGTAATTAATACATTCTTATTTAAACCATAAGGCTTTTACAAGGGCTTCAGAATTCTTGGACATTAAAAGCATAATGAGTAGAGTCCAGCATAAAAATTGCATCTAAAATACTTTACAAAGCTGAATATTAGCAGACAGGAGGAGAATTCATGTCCTGGATTTGTTTAAAGGACGGGGGACTTTATATTTTTGGTATTAGATCTGCATTTAGATCCTACAAAAGAGTTGAGTGTGACTTTATTGCTACAAGATCTTGTAACAGGCTTGCATCTGGGTCCAAAAAAGAAAATCGTGACCAAAAACCTGAGGAAAGCATTGTTCAGGGAAGCCAAAAAAGGTGCATAAGGCTGTAACCTGTTGTGTAAATCAATGAAATTATAAGTTTCAACCATTATTGTAGCTCTCCTTGTAAAGGAATTTTGGACCTTGGGGCTGCTGTGCATTTTATGAGATAGGGAGGGCTGGAGTTATCTTGGGACTCCTTTGGTTCAGTTCTCTGCAGCGCCTTTGGCTCTGAGCTGCCCGGGATGTTCAATCATTTGTGTGCACCAGCTTGTGCCTCACGTCTCTTTCTGCCTCACATACAACTCATCAGTGCCTCAACTATCCACCTAGGAAACCTAATTCATTTATAAAAGAAATGTCAGATG